AGGTGGCCTGTGCACGTGGCGCTCCATCGATGGCAGCATTGCACTGCCCCTGGCCCCCGGCTCCCCCAAGGGGCTGGCGCGGGAGCACGCCCTGTGCCTCACAGGTGACGGCCTGGCCCACCTGCAAGCCAGTGACCCCCAGCAGCTGCTGCGCCTCATTCCCCATGTGCAGGTGTTCGCCCGCGTGGCCCCCAAGCAGAAGGTGCGTGTGGTGCCGGGCGGGGCCGGGGGCCTGGGGCCGGCACAGGTCCCCCACTCAGCCCGTCTGCCCACAGGAGTTCGTCATCACCAGCCTGAAGGAGCTGGGCTACGTGACTCTCATGTGCGGAGACGGCACCAACGATGTCGGCGCCCTCAAGCACGCCGATGTGGGTGAGCCATGGCCCATGCGGACGTGGGTGTGGTGGCACAGGGACAGTTGCGGGGGCAGCAGTTCCTGTGAACAAGGAGTGCAGGGAGGGAAGGGCTCACAGGGCTGCAGAGTGACACAGGTCTTGGGAGAGGTGGGGCCCATGAGGAGGGCGCCTCAGAAGCTGCCATCTGAACCGGCTGCCCACGGTTCCCGGCTTGGGGCTGTGGTCAGGAGACCGCACACAGCTGAGCATGGTGGTGCATGCCTGCAATCCAGCGCTTAGGCTGAGGCAGGAGGGTCACAGATTCTGGTCCCTTTTGGGAAATTCGGCAAGACCAGCTGAAAATGTAACCAGGGCTGGGGCCGTACTCAGTGGCGGAGCACCTCTGATCCATCCCAGTAGCGTGCCCATCCCCTCCCTGTGCTGCTCTCACAGACCTGCTTCTGTGCTTTTCCGGCGTTAACTGCTGTTTGTGAGAGCATTTATAAGGCCTTTTCTGCTTCCTAGACTTAGGCACTGAGAGTTGGTCTCTTTGTTAACCAGCGTAGGTTTAACCAGAGTGTTGTTGGCTGTGTGTCTCTTGGTTTCCTGAGGAGCTCGTGCACAGCACTCTGGGCACTGCCTGTCTGGGGTCCTTTGGGAAGATCAGTGGCAGGGAGCTGGGCCGAGCCAGGGCTTGGAGAGCAGCTGCGGCTGTGTTGAGCTGCACCCTGCCCTGTCCGTCCCTCCAGGGGTGGCGCTGCTGGCCAATGCCCCCGAGCGGCTTGTGGAGC